CCCCATAAGGTCCGCTAGAAATATACAGGGTGTTCCACAAAAATTTTTATTTCTCTGCTATTATGAGGGTTGAAAATGTATCCTTTTTATAATTAAGAAAATTCAGTAAAGAGCTTTTGGACTAATTCACATAGCTGTCAAGTGAACCATAGTTTGATACTCTCTTCAATTATCTTTTACTCCCTTTTCGATAAGGGAAACTTATTCCATAATATTTTATTGAGATGAATCACATGTGTTAGACGATACAGTACTTATTTATTATGCTTATCTATGCCAATGGTATAAGGTCATAGATCAAAGGACACCTTGAAGCCTCAAAAACTTTCATCGAGGATTTCGAGCAGCGATTACACCAGAAACACCTCCGGTTGGCGTCGGCCCGAAGAAAAGATAATTACCGCTGAATTCCCGAGCTCTTCTAGGCTAGATGAGGCCATCAATGCACAGCAGGGAATCGCGACACCCTCGTCTTCTTTTCTGCCTCGTCCTCGTGAGGGTAGCCAAGAACCCATATTACTCATCCGTATCTCGTTCTTACTCTTTCTTCCTTCGTAATGTTCCCTCTTCATCCATAAGCCTCGTTGATTTAAGGCTAACGGACACGATGCGATGACGTTTTGATTTCAGACCGATTTGACGCTGATTCGCTGATATTTTTATGAAACGGTGTGACGCGATCAAATGGCGTATCGTTATAGGGAAATTTACTGCGAAATTGTTACGGTAGATGTTATGGTAGATGTCGCTGAGATCGTTTTTATGGTACTTGATGAAGGAAAATTGTCGCGGGATAGAACTATAATTTCAAGCTTTTAATAAGAGAAAATTTATGTGAAACTATCTCATAAATCAACCCTTTCTGTCAACCTTATTTTATTCAAGTTTGGAAACTTCTGCTTGAAAATTCTTTTATTTTCGAAAATGTCGAGATGTGCTTCCTACATAATTATCGCAATTTATAATTATAGCCATTCTAGGTCTATTGTTACAAACGGAGCAATTGTTCAGCCTTCCAGCCCTCAGAGTCCCCTGTATCTCCGTTCAGAAAAAGAAGAAACAAAGACCGGCGGCGCGAGTCAGGTGCTAAATAATTTCTGTCCCAAAGCAAGGAAAGAACGATCCGCTATCTTCGATTCTTCCACGGCTATCTGTTGGCCACATGACATGGATATAAGTTACGAGCGTTCGAATAATTACACGGTTCGGGTTCGAGGCGAGTCGCGGTCAGCGGAAGGCAAAAGACAATTTTACGCAGCGGGGCACCGTCGTCCCTGGCGACCCGGTGGCAATCTTCTTTTCTGCCAACTATTCTGCCCCCATGAAATCGACAGGCTCTCTTTCACCGAAGAATCGGCTATCGAGAACTTTTAATGTACCCCAAAATGAAATATCACATTTTCTTCGGCTGCGACTATTCGCCTCTTTTGTGGGGGTGCGATATATCATTTCTCTGTTCGTATTATTATAACTCAAAATTTTGCTGTGCAGATAGTATCTTATTCTGTAAAATTAGACGCTTGAATTGTGCTAACTGTATAAAATGGTATGTGCAAAATGATATGTGCAAGATGTAGATATGGTGTGTCACATGTGGCAGGATGCAATACTGTATATGATTAAATAAAACGAAATATGTAAAACATGTCATAGACCATATATAGACATATGAAGTACAATAACATACCTAGACCATATATCACATAAAAGACATGTGGTATATGTAGCAACTATATTGAACGTATACATATGTGCCTATCTCTGCAATATTTTTTTTAATATTCTCACATAATAATCAGTACATGTACTTTTAATGTGAATATGATTAAAACCGAATAGACTACCTAATAGTCTAAGTTCTATAACATCAGATGAGTAGCCTAAGACGTAAAAACGATCACCAACTAGCAAGAGATATCCAGTTTTGGAAACTGGACCACAGTACTTCCGAGGGTCGGTTATGTTAGGACATCCGTCAGTATGGAAAGTTGCCTTCATTAGTCGGTTCGGTATCCGAGAAGCGGGATCCATGGGTCTGCTTTATGTAAATCAGTCGCGGCGTAATTGGCACTGAACGAAAAAGCTAATTACCGAAATCGTGCACCCGGGACCCCTAGGACCCAGGGCTCCATCAGCGCCCAGCGGGATGTCGCGACACCCTCGCCCCTCGGCCATCCTCTTCGTCTCTCGTTTTCTTTCTCTCTCTCTTTTCTGTCTATGTGTTATATGCGTCTTTCCACGGACACGATCAGCGAGGGCCGCAATATTACTCATCCGGGACCGATATACGACTACCTGCTTCTCGATTATACGCTGCTACTCGGCTGCGCCGACTCGCGTCCAAAGTGGCGAAAGAGATATATTTCGGCCTGTTCCACTCCGTTCCTCTTCTCCTCCATTCTTTCTCGAAATAAGTAATGAATAATATCGTAAATCTCCGCGTGTCACCGTTCCGTGCACCCTTTGTGCGAAAGTGCGCGAGAAAATTTGTTTATGGAGATTTAGTGGCTCTCGACCGGCGATTTAGGGCCAATTTTATGCGACCGCTAAAGGGCGCTGGTACCGGCCTTGTTACTTGCCGTACTTCGCTCGTTGATGAGTTGATTAATGCGAGTTCACCTATTTTGATTGTCGATGATGGATAATGGCTTATGATATTTGTGGATACGGCTTTAACGCGGCTCCTGATATATGGCTAATGCATTGCAAGTTCTTATTGCACTTGTGGAGGTTGGCTGAAGTACTGTTTGGAGAAGGTTGTTTCGGAAATTTGGGAATTTAGGATACTGAATCATAGTTCTGATATTTCAATAAACTATTCCTGAATTATTCCTGATTTATTTCCATATTATGTAAGAATCAGTTGGGTCTATTCATAAAACCTGTTTCAATAAGAAAGCTAAAATATGTGATTATATTTCCTCTTCTTTATAGCATTCATGAATATCTTCCTGTACAGTTGCTTTTATTGATAGTGTGTGAGATTGTTGGATAAATTTTATTTCCTAATTTAAACAATAATAGAACTAGTGAAGCAACCAGATCTTTTGAGTATCCAATGACCTTTACATTAAAGCTAAAAAATAGCAGATAGCTTTCTAAACCGAAAATGCGAAGAGGCACCAGTTATTCCAGTGTCATGGTCCATAATTACCAGGAACCAGCACGTGTCCCGTGTCACCATCCCCTCAGTCTGGGCCAGCAAAAAGGACAAGGGCTGCAAGGGTTGTCAGCGAACCCATGTCTGCCATCCGGGCAGACACGGTTTTATCGCGGCGGGCATTGTTATGCGCGACCTAAGACAAGGTGTTTCTCGGCTCGCTGACAAAGGGCAGCACCGGCACAACAAAGAAGTCCGCGGCGAATCGAAGACGGTGCGCGTGAAACGGGGGAGGATCAGGGATGCAGCGGGACGAGGGCAGTCGAAAAAGTCCTCCCTTTCCCTTCCCCTTTTTTCCTCGCCTCCGCGGCGCGCGTAAAAACCTTTTCTCCGAGGAGATGTCACTTATTAATTCTCCCATTCTCTCGGAGGCAGCAAAATGAATAGCGGGAGCTGACTGAAGCCCGGGCTACCCCGCCCCCCGAGGAATCGGCC